AATAATAATAATAATAATAATAATAATAATAATAATAATAATAATAAGTTACCAATGTCTCTCCTTGCTTTTAATAGTCTATATTAACTTATTAATTTAGTTGGTTCTTTAGTCTGTCATATTCCCTTTCCATTACACATTCTTTTTATAAATTCTAGATTAATACAAATTTTAACACTAAAAAAAAAAAACTAAGTATAGGTTTCCCCCCTTTTACTGTTTTGAGTGTGACACCTCAATGATTAAAATATACCTTTATTCCCTCATCTTGATTCCCAATAAACCATTATTTTTAAGAAGTTACAATAATAATTATTACATCTTTTCATTTGGATTCTGCAGCATATTTTCCCCCCTTGATTTTTAATAAGAGTTATCAGTATCTATATTATCCTATTTTCTAAATATTTTTAATTGCAGAAATATTCTTATTACCCCTTGTCACCCTGCAGAATCCCCTTTTTAATTCATCAACAATTATCTCTGAAAAAACAATTTCTTTTCAACATTTTACTATTTCCATATTTCTTTATTTCATGCACCTGTTTCTTACTGCTTCTCCTCCCGCACTTTTTCCCATATCTTTTCTCATTCCAATTTATATCCCTCTCTTTCTTAATATCTTCCTTTCCCCTTTTCTGCTGGTTCTTTCTGCCTTTCCCAACTTCACAGGTATTCCCCCTTTTGATTGCCTTCTTAAATCTCAACTTTTTAACCTTCCTTCTTTCCCCACTTCTTTGTAGTGTTCTTTGTGTTAATTGTCTATTTAAAATGTCTTCTCCTTGAGTCGACTCCTCCTCCTCTGAAGCTCTTTCTTCTTGTTCTTCAATCGCCATTTCCATTTTTTCTAACACAGAGCAAAGTGATTTGCCTCTTTCCTGTAGTAATTCTCTCATATTTTTAAGTTCCATTTTTAATTCCCGAAGAGATATCATCATTACACACTCTTGTATTTTATGATCATTAAAGTCTACAAAAAACCCACTTTTGCTTTCCTTCTTTCTTCTTTCAATTTTCTAAAGTTCTCAATTATTCCAGCCCAGGCTCTATACCAAAAACATCACTCAATCCCACAGTCAGTCTTTCCTTGCTTTTTTCTTTATTCTGGTTCTGCTTTCACTTTCTAAGTTTCTTACTTTGTTTCAATATTTCTTTAATGTTATATCCACACAAGTTCATTCAGAAACAGGATGCTTTCCCTTTTGTTTGAGATCAAGTTTTTGTCAAAAGGTGGCACTCTCCATTATACAAAGTCTTCACCTTTTCCCCCTATTTTTTTATTTAGGGTTTTTCGAACCTCAATATTCCAGCACAGTCCAGTCTCCAATTTGTAAACTTTATTATTATTATTTTTTGACAATCTTAAGTCCAGCTTTATTTTATGCCTGTTTATTCCCAAAATATTTTTGTCCAATTTAGTTAAATCTTTAGTTCCAGCTTCTTCCTTTCCCAGTTCGAAGCCCCACAGCTGTCAAAAATATTTTCTTATTTTTTCCCCTGTCCCTTTGTAATTTTGCCGCTCACTTTTCTTTTCTTAAAAATTCCATGTTACCTTTATCCTGGGGTACTTTTGTTTAGTTGTATTGCCCAGTTGTCCCGGTTCAGATGTTATCCACCTCTTTCTTCCCTCCTGCACAAATCTTAATCCAGCTGAGTCCTCCTGTTCGGGGTGGCCATTTTAAACCACCGCTGCAGTCATCTTTGGGGGGAAAAAGACCAAGCCCAGGGGGGGAGATGCGGCTCCCCTCAACCTGGCTTGCGGCTTCCCCTTACTCCACCGCCCCTCCAAGGTAGCTTCAGCCCCTGATCGTAATGATCGGGGCACTCCAACGAAAGAGCACGGACCATAGCCACAGAGAGTCGCGATCTACAGTCCATCAGCGAGGAGGCTCCGCCTTCTTCCAACCAGCTAATCTCTAATCTCTGGGGGAATGATGTTCCAGAGAGATGGAGCCACCACAGAGAAGGCCCTTCTTCTAGGTCCCACCAGGTGTATCTCCCTCAGTGGTGGGACCCGCAACATTCCCGGCCTCCTCGCTCTAATGGGTCAGGTAGATGTCACTGGCAAGAGATGTTTCCTCAGATAACCTGGACCCAAGCCACTCAATTTGCAGATCTTGAAATTTATCAACCCCTTTTTTTTCCATCTTTAGTAAAGATTTTATCAAGGTCTGCATGTTCCATCAGTCTGCTGAGGGTTTTTTGTCCCTTACATAGAATTTGCAACTGTCTTTTTTCTCCTATTCAACACAAATGCCTTAGTCCTTAAGACATTCATGTTTTGCTGTTTCTTGTGTTGTGCTGTGTCTTCTGCTGCAGCTGGGAAGCCACACGGCATTGTCAGCATATAAAAACATGCACTTTTACTGTATAAAGTGTTTGTTTTGTGCTTAGCTACAAATACACACCCTTGTCCTATTCCCTGCTCAACGTTGCATTTGCTAAGCATTCATTTTCATCCATGTAACTTCATAGGAGCATGGTGGCCCATGTGGTTAGGATGCTGAGTTGGAGATTGGCCAGCCCGTGTTTGAGACCTGAGTACTGCAGTGGTGCAGGATGAGCTCTTGGCAGGGCCATGAAAGGAGACCCCAACTGAGTGTCCATCCCCTGGGCAACAATGATATCACTGGCTAATCTTTTTAACCTGGAAAGGCCTGGAGGCTTCTGACACAAACACGATATAACTCCATCACACTGTACAGGATTTTTATTGCATTCGGCAATCAAGTTTCAACTCCACCCAACTACTTCAAAATGTTGATTGGTCAAACTTTCCTACATTCATCAATGAATTGCAGAAGAGGAAAAAATTATCCAGTCTGCCCTTTTCTTGACAAGCACAAAGCTGAACACCGTGTTAATTCCTGGCTGCAGGCACAAACTGTTTGCAACAAAATTCCAGTAATGTTAACCATTCCATTGGTTAAGACAACAAAAGAGACTACTGGGATATCTTTTTTTATCTAGAGCAGGGGTGTCAAGCTGCGGGCTGGATCCAGCCCACAGGGTACTTAGATTTGGCCCATGGGGCTGCCCTGGAAAGAAGTGAAGGACCGGCCTGCGGTGCCTCTGCCAGTGAAAACGGGCTCCCAAACTCCGTTTTCTGCTGCCATGGCTTCCTGCAACCCGCTGCCAGTGAAAACAGAGCTCCATTTTCACTGGCGGAGAGTTTCAGGAGGCCGTGGCAGCTGAAAATGGAGCCCATTTTTGCTGGCAGAGAGCTCATGCCACCACAGGTGCCCCCGACACGAGTGATGTCAAGCTGGCCATGCCCACCCCAGGCCCCCAAGGTCAAGCACAACCCTGATGCGGCCCTCAATGAAATTGAGTTAGAGTACAACTTTACTGAAAATTCCATGTGGGTACAGAAGTGGAAAAGCCAATTCTAAAAAATTGGCACACCAACAGCATAAGAAACAGCCCCCCCCCCCCCCCAGTCCCCCCCCCGTCTTTTTGTCTTCTAGCCAATCAGGCACATTCGCGTTGTTTTAGGAACAGTCTCTCCACCTTGGACTTTCCCAGCCAATGATCTTGGGGTGCAGGATTTGTCTCAGGCTTCAAGCCAGCAAACCTATACCCCCCCCCCCCCGCCATTCCAATGCCTTCCCTCCTCCCTCCCATTGTTGATGTCTGGTTGTGAGCAGGGTTTGTGTAGAGAGCTTAAGATTTCGTCTCTGTCATCTTTTGGGAATGCTTGCATTCCCTCCTTCCGGTTTTATCCCAAATAATTTCACTGCTTTCATTTTTATTCCCACTTACTCTGCAGGAGGCTGCTTGGTGGCTTTTGCACTCAGCGCCAAAAACAGTTGCCTTACTTCTTTTCCCATCCATCTTATACCTCCCATTAACAGACCTCAGCCTGTTACTGTTCCAAATAGTGTCCAGTTTCTACTTATGGTCGACCTCTGGGAGATTAATCTGTGTTCACATACATTTTCTTCCTGTAATTTTATGGCCTTGTATCTTTCAATTGTGCTTTTGCGCTACTCTTCACTCCTTTGCCGTGTGTGTCTTTGTGTACATACACAAATACATGAATGGACTGATGCTTTCAAGCCACTTGCCAGTTCCCATTCTCATCCAAAGTTGGGTTTCTGGGGCTAGTAACTTCTCTACTCTGTCATTTTGTCCTCACCCACTGATTCATGTCCCCTAGAAGAATAATTTTCCCCTGGATTGTGTTAGAACACTGCAAATTTCTTCCACCTCAAAATTGATCTTCCAACAGTCACTAGAACATACTGTGCTGCTCTACCAACCTTTGATTCCCACTTTCCTTCGCACTCATAACAATCTAGATGTCGCTAAATGAAGCTCAGAAGAGCAGTTCTAATGGGAAAAGCTGTCCAGCCATGGACCAATAATGCAACTGCAAGTAACTTGTCTGACTTGGTTCAGTTACTTGCTAGGGATTTCTGGGAGTTGAAGTCCTCCAGGCTTAAAGTTGCTAAAGTTGGAGACCCCTGGTCTGGGGGGGGGGGGGGACCTGATCGCATCTTCCAATATTTGAGGGGCTGTCACAGAGAAGAGGGGGGTCAACTGATTCTCCAAAGCCCCCGAGAGCAGGACAAGATGCAACAACCTGGAGCTTGTCAGAGGGAGGTTCAACCTGGAAATAAGGAGGAATTTCCTGACAGTGAGAACTATTAATCAGAAAAAGTTCCCAAAGTTCTGGGTGCTCCATAGCTGGAGGATTTCATGAAAAGTTTGGACAGCCATTTGTCTGCAATGGTGTAAGGCAGTGGTGGCTAACCTTTTTGGGCTCCTGTGCCAAAAATTGTGTGCACGCTTGCATGCTCGCGCTCGCGTGCCAGCACCCAGACGGCAATGCGGGCCCCCCACGCCCCCTATGCATGCGTGTGCAACCCCACCCCCCATCCCTAGCCCCCTTACCTGCACTGCACCTCACAGCTGATTTTTGGTGGGTTGGAGGCCCTTTTCGGACTCCCAAAGGCTTGAGGAAGGCTTCTGCAGGCTTCTGCAGGCCAAAAACTAGTCCTGTTTCGTCACTTTCGGTATTTTTGAAAAAACAGGAAGTGACGAAACAGGGCTAGTTTTCGGCCTGCAGAAGCCTGCAGAAGCCTTCCTCAAGCCTTTGGGAGGCCGAAAAAGGCCTCAAACCTGCCGAAAATCAGCAGTGAGGCGCGCACATGCGCAGTAAGGTAAGTTTGCCTGCAGCTTGCGTGCCTGTGGCACGCGGGCCATAGGTTCGTCATCATGGGTGTAAGGACTCCTTGCCTTGGGAAGGGGTTGGACTAGATTACCTCTAAGTTCCCTTGCATCTGTTTTATTTTTAGCCACAATTTAGCCACAAACAGACCCAAGTCGGTTTGAAGTTGGTCAGCAAACTCCACTCATCCCACGCACGCCCTGGTCCTACCCAAGGAGGCAAGGTAGGGTGGAAGGGGGAGAGAACCTGTAGCTCTGCATCTTCCAATCTCCTTCCCCGCCTCATGGCTGTGCAACCGGCACAACTGACCATCCCGACCTCTCCCGGCCATTGCCTTTCTATGGCGGGCCGGGGTTGCGCCGGGAGGCAGCCGTCTGCACTGAAGCTTCGGGCAGAGGAGCAGCCGGTGCTCAGTCCAGCTAAGACCGGCGGGACTTGGCTGCTGCCCCCCACCCCACCGATTCTGTATGCCGAACCTTTGGGCCACCCCCGCGCCTCCTCCCGCCTCGGGGCGGGAGCTTCAGCTGCACTGTTGGCCAGGTTGGCCAGCGGCCACCGCACCCCCTCCCCTCTGATGGGGTGGCGGAGGCCCTGTGGGGTGGCCTCAGGGCACGAGAGTCAGGGTGGTGGAGCTGTCGGCCCCCCCCCATGAGCTCCCGGTCCTGCCCCCGTGGCCTTCAGGCAACAAAGGGCGAAGTTATGCTGGTGCTCGCCACCCTGCCCGGCTCCTGCAATGGAGGGCAAGAGAGAGAAGTGGTGGGGTCCCCGAGGGATCACCCTCGCCTTCCTGTGGCCCTTTCCCAGAGGATCCCGGGACGGCCCCCTTCCTTCGGCTCCGCTGTTCCTGGGGGGACTCGAGACCGGGGGATGCCTGGCAGGGCCAACTGAGGAAGCCTGTGAGGTTCCTCCCAAGCCGCCGTGGCACCCCCGACAGAAGAGCCCCGGCTGAGTCCCCGGGGGGAGGGCCGTGGGGGTCTTTGGGTTCCACCTGGCTTTCTGTATTCGGAGATGACTTGGAGCTTCCCTCAGCGCTGCCCCACTGACACGCAGGGAGCCCCCAACCTGAGCCCGATGCCCCTTGGAGGTGGGGGTGTGGGGTGTGAATCAGGCGGCAGCGGCGGCAGCCCCGCAAAGGCTGCGCTTCTCGGCCCCGGAGTGGCGTCGGCTCTTCCGTCTCTGGCTTTCTGCCTTATGTCACCCTCCTCTGCTGCTCTTCCTTTCCCCCTTTTCTGCCGCCCCCTTTTCTCACACTTCCATGCAGGGATGCTGCTCGCAGGCAGCAGAAGGGGCTGAGACTGTGTGTGTGTGTGTGGGAGGGAGGGAGAGAGAGAGGCTTTTGCGCTGCTGCTACTTTGGAAAAGTTTCCCATCTTCCCAATAGGTTGCTGGCGGTTGGGTGGGGAAGATGCAACCCTATGGGCCTCAGTTGCGGAGGCTGGGTGGAGCAGCTCCCACCCGGCGCCCTCCTGGCTGCTTCAAGCCTGCCACCGCAGAGCGCCTGGCTTAAGCCCGGCCTGAAATCCGAAGGTGGAGGAAAGCCAGCTTGAGCCCGGATGGGTGCATTTCGGCCCAGGGAGCAGAACTCCTTCTGGACAGCGGAGCCAGTGGCAGATGCGGCAGGCGGCCAGGTTCAGTTTGGAGGGAAAGGGCCAGGATGGCGACCGGATGAAAGAGGTGACGGATCTGCAGAAGTGGAAGCAAGGGTCAGCTCCTCTTCTCTTTACTGCCCTCCCCTCCCATACTCTGAATCTTAAACCACCTTGATAAAGCCCAAACCCCTCCCCCATGGCTGCTGGACTACTGTCTGGACCGGGGGTCTCCAACCTTGGCAACTTTAAGACTTGCTAAGGTTGGAGACCCCTGGTCTGTACTGCCCTGGGGCACCAGCCTGAGGGGCCTGAAATATGAGCCCCTGCAGAGAGCAACAACAGTGGATGTTGTTGTAAAAATAAAAACATAAATAAAAAAAACAAACCCAGTGGATGAGCTATATGGACTTGGCATTCAGACGTGTGTGTGTGTGTGTGTGTGTGTGTGTGTGTGTGTGTGTGTGTGTGTGTGTGTGTGTGTGTGTGATGGGGATTCTGGTGAGCCTGGGCCTGCTTTGGAGCTCCTCTACTTGTGTGAACATCTCCGCTGGCTTGTAGGAAAAAGATGGAGCTCCCCGTCCTGTTTTTTAGGCTGCCCAGAGCAGCTTCGGTGGCTGATGGGAAGATTGGAGCGCCGGAATATTCTTCAGCCTGTTTATCGGCTGCACAACAAATGCAGCTGTCAAGGGCTCCATTTTAAAAACCTAATTCCTCCTGTGAGCGGCTGAAGGAGGGAGGCCCAGGTGCTGCGGCTTCAAAGCCGGCCTCATCATTTTTTCATGCGTTGCAGTCTTGTGGAATATTGATGCCGCTCTCTTCTGGATCAAACACGGCAAGCGCCTGGGCAGGAGGCAGCTGGCTGAGGCCTTCTCTGGGGGCAGCCTGGCCCCATCCTCGCTTTCCCCCTGGGCATGCTAGTGCTGCATGTTGGGTGCTCTGCAGGCAAGACCGGTAGGGTGACCGGTCAGCTGCTGCCAGAGCCAAGGAAGTCCAGTCGTGCTCCATGCAAGCGGAGAGCTTTTTTCACCAGAAGGACCCACAGCTGGAACTGACCTTGGGCAGCCCAGGGAAAGGGGCCTTTGTTCTCCCTCTGGGCCTGGCAGTAACGACGATAGCAATAACGCTTAGATTTATATACCGCTCCACACAGTGGTGGGATTAAGGGTTTTTTACTAATGGTTCTATGGGCGTGGCTTGGAGGGCGTGGCAGGGGAAGGATACTGCAACATCCAATTCCCTCCCCACCCCACTAACCTGCTTTCCAGCTCCCTTCTCCTGTGCAGGTCAACCAAAGAAGAGCCAGCCGATCAGCTGGGACTCAATGGTAGGCAGAGAATAGATGGGGCAGGGCCAGTCAGAGGTAGTATTTACCGGTTCTCTGATCTACTCAAACTTGCCACTAATGGTTTTCCAGAACTAGTCAGAACCTGCTGAATTCCTCCCCTGGCTCCACAGTGCTTTATACCAGAGGTCTTCAAACTTGGCAACTTTAAAACTTGTGGACTTCAACTCTGGGAGTGGGTCCATAAGTCTTAAAGTTGCCA